ATGGAGCTCTTCGTTGTATATTGTTCATTTATTCTCCTTATGGGACTTTTTCTTAGGTTGATTGGTCGTTGGGTTGGTCGTTTCTTTTCCATTATGGGGTTTCTTTGTTGGGTTAGTTGTTTGGACTATGATTGTCCAAAGATAATCCTCTTAGTATTGTAAATAATCTCCTAAAAAAGAACATGAAGGGAAGGTTAGGAAAATGGTTGATTTTATAAGAAAAATTCCACACAATCTAGGATTTTTCTTTTTTACTTAGTAGGTGATAATTTACAAATATTATGAGAATTACATCAAATTGAACATTCAACTATGTAAGAAAGTCTACTAACGCAGAGATACAAGCATACAACAAGTTCAACAATCACAACCATCACAATGTCATCAAAAAACTTATGGTATAGAACTCAATACCTCAACAACTGAGCTAATAATACTGCCAACTAGATACCACTAAACCACGTGATCAAGGAGTGAGTTGAAAACTCCGGTTTCTTTGAATTTTTATGCTGAAGCAATTTGATATTTGGTGCACTTATGGTATAGACAAAAAAAATCAAAAAAACCAAGGTTACAGATCTCGTTTGGTAAGTGACTTTTTTAGCCAAAGAGTTATTAAAAAAATCAAAAAGCCAATAACTTATACCAAAAAATTAAAAATTCCCTTTTCTTTTTACTTGTTGCACATTTTTTCATAAAAAATCAAAAAGTCATCCCAAACATACTAATTTTTTTTACATTATATTTTAGTCAAAAAGTTACTAAAAAAACATGTTCCCAAACGAGGCCTTGAATCTGATCAATTTAATAGGTGGTAAAGGCGGCCTTTGTAGGGACTTCCAGTGGACCTTTTTTTTTTTCTCTTTTTTATAGTAGCATTTGACATGGAAACTGCATCTAAGTTAAGTAGTTGCCCATATGCTGGGGACTTAGGGAAACCTGGAATATGGGCCTTAGGTGGTCATTTTGTAGTCTTCTTTACACATCTGTAGTCTTTTTTGTGCTAGATTGTAATAGTGAAGTGTTGGTTATTTCTTCATTGAATTTTGGACATTTGTTGTTATTTGTAGTCTTCTTTACACATCTGTAGCGTAAGCCATTATCATGAATCCCATTTCAATTGATTAAAACGTGATAATACAAGGGGCATTCAATTTCTTCCTTAAAAATTAAAAAGAAAAAGAAATCAAGGCAGGAATTAGATGCAACACTAAGCAATTTAATATTTTATTTTTAGTTTAGTTCAGTTCAATTTTCTGTTGGACTGGAGCAGACATTAGCTCAAGAACTTGAATAGTTTGGTGTTCTCTATCGAATTTGTTACTATTTGTTATTTGTCTAAATTTCTTTTTTCCAATGGCTGACAAGTTTATGCTCAGTCACAGTTGCATAACTTCACATTGCCACACATCCTTTGGGTTTCATTATCTATGTTACATGGACTCTTCAAAATAAATCAAATACCCATGTCGGACATCCGACACTCGGACAAGGGTATGTAATATATGTCAGATACGTCTCAATGGACACTTCTTAAATAATTGTATATAACACTATTATTATATGTATATATATATATATATATCTTTTTGACACTGTAAGTTACATATACTTGATTGAAAATATTAGTACCATTTCATCTCATATACTTGATTGAAAATATAAAAATATGACATTTTTTTGTTAAATTTGCGTACCCTTAAATTTATGGTTTGATAAGTCTGACATTTAGATACATACCTACATCCGATATTCATACCCGAGTTCATGTAACATACATGTCGGTATAGGACTGATAGTTAGTTCAAGAAAATTACAGATGTTGAAATAGACAAGGGAATATGCTTTTGGTAGAACAAAACAGTCGCTTCAATTGTTGTAAAGATTATATAAGTAGGCTACGATGATCCAGTCATGCGCAATGAGAGCCAATACATGATAGAAAACAATATAGTTTACATTCTACGTGCTATAAGAAAGAAAAGAATGTCAAAAGTATTTAGTTTGAAGCAGTGAGAGAAGTATGACTAGCAATTTAGAACAGAAAATGTGGCCCTTGGATGTTGACAAATTTTTTTCCTCCCCGTAAATTTGGGGCAAACTATTATATATGTGATAACTTGGATTATTCATATATTGTAAGTATTTTGTTTTATCCTTGTTTACTTAACTTGCATGATTACATGTCTGATAACCATTTAGACTGTTACATATGGAAGGTAGAGCTAGTGTTACCGTAAAACACTAATACACTATTGATTTACGTTTTGGAATGCACATTTTGAAACATGATACACGTTTGTTCCAAAATGGTGAATTAGGTGATCCAAAGTGAAAAGTTTTCATAGGAGGGAAAGAAATCAAATATAATAAATTGAAATCTACAGCGAGTAGAGTTTTGGTGTTACAAAACATGAAAAAAAATGAGTCATAATATTTATAGTAATGTGTTATAACATGATTAATTGCAAAAAGAAAAGGTGCATCTTGAAAGATGTCTAATTTTTAAAAGAAAATTGCTCTAAAAGTATCTTAAATTCTGATGATACAGTTTGTTTCAGTGAATGGATCGGACTGGTCTAAGCTCCTCAAGCCTAGGTCCAAATGATCAAGCCCACCGGAAAACCTGCAAACAAGTTCAACGGGGAACGGGGTAGTGCCCTAGTGAACCCTCCAACGAGCAAGTCAGGAAGAGAAGTAGAGTGTAGAGGGAGAGATTAGAGATAGAAAAACTTAACCTTCTTCTTGTCTTCAACGTTGGCTTATATCCTTTGGTAATCATTTCGCTGCCCCTTCCGACCTGACCTCCTCGCCGAAAGTCTATGCTGTAGCTTACCTTGTTCCGAGTAAGGGGGTCCTGTTTCGACAAAGAGGTGTTGTCGTAATAAATACTATGATGGGCTGTATTAATGGTGATGTGCCGTGGCAATAACTTTGCGGATCTTTGTTTGCTGATGTGGCTCGTCTTTCACCTGCCATGTATCTGAATGTCATTGGCTCTTTATGCCATATTAGATTCCAGCTGTCCTGGACCTCACCAGCTGGGTTATGTATTGGGCTCCAAGTGATGGGTTTGGGTTGTTCATAGTGATTCATGGCCTTTATAGGCTTATACACATCAGTAGTCTCCCATTCCCGAGTGCAGCTTTAGTCCAACAAAGAGAATACTAATGAAGAAGATAAGGGTGTTAGGGATTGGCAGGATGGAGGTCGACCGGCAGGGGTGACCGAGAGGGTGAACCGACCGGGAGGTGATCCGACCGTGTAGGGTGACCGAGTGGAAAGGCCGACCACGAGGAGGGCCGACCGCGAAGGGGGGCCGATCGCAGAGGTCGACCACGAGGAGGGTCGACCGCGAAGGGTGAGGTGGAGGGGCGTAGGGCTCGAGAGGCGGCGTGTCACGTGGTGATTTGAAGTGGAAAAGACAGGGTAAGGGGAGGAGACAGTGGATCATGGTCGTACACGTGGCAACATCTCGAGGCGGAGATTAGGCGTTAGATCAGAAATGAAACGATAGGTCATTATGGGTGTTGAAAAGACAGTTTTGGCGGATGATTTGAAAAGTTTTCAAACTGGCGAAAATTAATTGGGATCCTTGGAATACGGGCAAACCGTGGGCTTTTGGCATTATTTGATTCACCTACTTGTTTACGAAAAATCAAAATATTCCAAGTGTGAATTCCTTTGTTGCTCACGATACACCTCTGCAACACTTTTTCAAATTCCTTGCACCTGCATCCGAAGCGATTTGCGGACATATCATAGAAATGGCCCAAGAAGGAGCTGCGAATGTCAGGGTGGATCCACTTGGTGATGATGATGCAGTGGAGTTAGCATAGCAATATAGGATGGAGAGGGTGGGGGAGTCGGTGGTACGATCCCATGGTTCCACCATGATGGCAACTCCAAAGCCAATTAGCTAGGCAGAACCAGATCATTGGCATACAAAGGTAGATAGATCAACGGTTACTACAGCGAATTTGAAGGCTATTTGTGAAAAATACCAGGTGCCTGCTGAAATAGAGTTATTGTTGCCAATGTCGACGGAGAGGCCATCCGACGCTAGGCCAGGGGAGTTTGCCCTTTATGAGGAAGCATTGAAGGGAGGACTGAGGCTGCCCCTGCAGCAAGTGGTAGTAGATGTCCTGAATCGTTTGGAGGTAGCGCTGGGCCAACTAATGCCCAATCCGTGGAAGATCTTACTGGCCTGTGCAAGTGCGTGGCCGAAGGCGAACGAAGGGACGGCCATGACAATAGACGAATTCTTCGCATGTTACAAGGCCTCAGGGTAGCAAGAGACTTAGGTCACTTTGCAGGCTGGTGGCGGGGTTGCCGTCGTCGATCAAGGGGTGGAGATCACGGTGGGTCTATGTGTCTGTCAGTGGAGGGGTTGGAGTGCGCACCATTTGGAAAGTGCCCACCAAGTCTGTGGAGCCAAAGCTGGGAGCAGCAGCAGATAAGAGGGTGAAGAGGGTAAAGAGGGTAAAGGAATGGAGGGAGAAGGAAGGGGCCAGATGGGACGAGCTCGTTCAGCCGTCGGCTTTGTTTGAGGCAGGGTTGGGTCCACAGCCGAGTGGTGGGAACCTCGACCGAACGGAGTTGTAGGCAAGGAGGAAGGCTCAAGAGGCAGAGAACCAGACCATCTTGGCCAAAGCCCAAAAATTCAAAGAGTCACAGGCAGACTGACCGCCACAACCGGTTGCGAGGGAGAGGATCCAACCTCGCCCCAAACCCTTGGGGCGAAAAGACTTAAGTGAATTTGTGCCACGACCGCCCCCAACAGACCCCTTGAAGGAGAGGGCTTTGAAGGAGATGGAGGTGAGGGGCGTAGTGAAGAAGAAGAGGAGAGTAAGGAGGAGTGAAGAAGAGCCTGCCCTGAAGAGAAGGAGGGAAGTGAGGACAGAAGAGACCAGTGTGGCTAAGGAGGCAGAGAGGGGGTAGTGGAGGAGACCCCAGGAAGGGTGGTCATCCCAGAAGTGGTGGACATCGCGTCGGAGGGGATGGAGGTCATCCCAGTAGTGGTGGGGATCGCCACAGAGGTAGCGGGGGCTGCCCCCGGAGTGCAAGTAGAAGGTGGGGCGACTGGCCCTGAGCTAAGGAGGGGAGAACAGCCCCAGGGGGGTCCTGCACCCCAAGGAGGGGGAGTCAGTCTGACTACTGTGATCTACCACGCTCGTGCAGTGGCTGGGCGGCTGGAGGGAGAAGAAGGCCCAACTAGGGCAGGGGCAGACCGCCTTGTGGGGATTATAGAAGAGGCAGCCTTGCGCTCAACAACCAGATTCAATGAGGCTGAGCTGCTGAGGGGGTTATGCTCCGCTCAAATGGAGGTAACCACCTTAGCAGGAGCTTCTACTGAGAAAGGCGGGGGCTGCAAAACTCAAGACAAATGAGGCCAGGGCTCAACTTGCAAAGTTGAAGAAGGAGAGTGCAAGTTGGGAGAGTGCCTACGCTGATCTGCAAACGGTCAAGGTGGAGCTGGAGAACACATGCCGCCAGGTTGTGTCGCTCGAGTTCCAACTGGCTGGCGAGCAGAAGAGGTTGGATGAGGTCCAAAAAACCTGCGCGGTCGCTGTCGAACGACATGATGAGGCGATGAGCAGTAATGAAGAGCTGGTCAGGCAGAAGGATGAGGCAGACCTATAGATTGACGGTCTGCAGAAGGAGCTGAAGGGCGAGCGTGCTAAGGCAGTAGAGGAGAAGGAGAGCCTTCAGAAGGAGTTGGAAGCAGAGAGAGCCAAGGCGGGTGCTGAAAAAGAGAGCTTTCAAAAGGAGTTGGAGGCAGAGAAAGCCAAGGCAACTGCTGAAAAGGAGAGCCTTCAGAAGGAGTTGGAGGCAGAGAAAGCCAAGGCAACTGTTGAAAGGGCGACCCTGGATAAGGAGTTGGCGGAGGAGAGGGCTAAGACAGCCTCTGAAAGGGTGGCTTACCCCGATCTGTATGTGGCAGCAGTGGACCAGTTCAAGGGGTCTGCTGAATTTTAGATGGCAGTGGATGCCGCAGTCGCCAGTAGCTTGGCAAGGGAGGAGTCTGGGGGGGCGGGTTCGTCGAGGACGACTGCTGGAGAAAGGACTGAGGCAGAAGTGATTGAGAGCTTCCAGCGGTCAGACTTTTATAAGCATGAAATGGCTGAGTTCTGGGACAGTGGTTGGAAAATGTTCAAGCGTAAAGCTGAGGAGCTGTTCGCTGGACCTGAGTAGTGTGAAAATCGATGACGACGATGTGGCCCAGACCCCCCTTGATGAGGGTATTGAAGAAGAAGACCTTGTGTCCAGTGAAGAGGAGCAGTTTGAAGAAGAAGAAGAAGAAGAAGAAAGCCTTGCACTGACCTCGTGTGTTTGTGTTTGTTTTGTTTGTTGTTTTGTTTCGTTTTTTGTTTTGAATGGCTGTAATGAACTCATGTAAAAATTTCTGAATAAATAAAATTACAATTATGTTTTCATTTGATTGTCTGTGCTTGTGCAATTGAAATGAATGAGGCGTGGACGAGGCGTGTGTATAACTCATTGTGAAGTGCAAAATGGAGTTAAATTTGTAATAAGAACTAAATTTAAGAACTCCTCAGTGTAGAGTGAAATTGAAGTTGTAATAAAAACTCAATGCAGGGTAAAGTTAGGAACTCCTCAATGCAGAGTGAAATTTAAAATGTAATAAAATTATAAGTTTGTGTTTGCCACACTGCTGAAGTAGATTAGTGGTTTATTGGAGTGAGGCTTGGCTTGTAAGGAAACAAGCTGACTTGTAAGAGTTTGATTGAGAAGAAAATAACCTGATTTGTAAAGAAAATGTGTAAGAACGTCTTTAGAATTTGACTAAGCAAAGAGTGGTGTAAAGACTTGGACGTGGAATTGTGACTAAGTGTGTCTACTAATTCCACAAGCATGAAGTTTGCATAGATGGCTTTAACCGAGCCTTGCATGCGTGCTTAATTGGGGCTAAGCTATGATTCACTGACGTTGTAAGGAACTCAGTCTGAACCTGAAATTGTGGCGCTTGGTCCGGCTGAGACTTGTTATGCTTAGGCTGGCTGAGGCTTGGTCTGGCCGAGTGCTTCATGCTCAGTCCGGATGAGGCTTTTAGTGCTCAGTCTGGCTGAGACTTTTCGTGTTCGATCTAGCTGAGGCTTTTAGTGCTCAGTCTGGCTGAGGCTTTTTGATGCTCGGTCTAGACGAAGCGTTTTAATGCTTAGTCTGGACGAGGCTTTTTAGCAGTGCTGCAATCAAAACGTCATTGAGATACCATATAGATAACTGAGATATATAATTGTTGGCAGGGAAAGTGTAACCCAGTTAATCAAAAAGTTACATTGCGTGAGAGGATATCAAGAATGTGTAAATTTGCCGAAAAGAAAATACAATAACTGAGCAATACAAAAGTAGGAGCTTATTGAAAGTAACGTTTCAGGTGTTCGGCGTTCCATGGGTGGGGGAGGTCTCGGCCTTCCGTGTCCTGAAGTCGGTAAGTACCCGGACGTAGTCGGGCTTTCATAACGTAAGGTCCTTCCCATTTGGTTGCCAGTTTACCCTCAGTTGAATTTTTGGTGGCAAGAGTTGCTTTTCTCAAGACAAGGTCCCCTACAGCGAACTCCCTTGGTCGGACTTTGCGGTTGTAGTGTGTTCTCATTTTCTGTTGGTATGAGGCCAGTCTGACAGCGGTGGTCTCTCCGAGTTCTTTAATTAGGTCCAGGTCTACCCGACGGAGCTCTTCGGTTAGTGCTGGATCCGGATGTAAAACTCTAGGATTAGGCAGACCGACTTCTACTGGAATAACCGCCTCAGCGTTGTATGTTAAGCGGAAAGGGGTTTCCTTAGTGGGGGTCCGAGTTGTAGTTCGGTAAGCTCAGAATACATTCGGTAGTTCCTCAGCCCAAAGTCCCTTAGCAGCTTCTACCTTAGTTTTGATAATCTTTAGGAGAGAACGGTTGGTGACCTCGATTTGGCCATTGGCCTGGGAATGACTGGGGGAAGAGAAACATGGTTGAATCTGGAGGTCGGCACAGAACTTCCTGTACTTGGCGTTGTCAAATTGTTTGCCGTTGTCGGAGACGATGGCCTGAGAGATGCCAAACCTGCAAACGATCGACTGCCAGATGAACTTGGTTGTGTTCCGCTCGGTGATGGTGGCAAGGGGTTCTGCCTCTACCCACTTGGTGAAGTAATCAATGGTGATAATCGCGAACTTGGTCTGGCCTCGGCCGGTGGGCAGTGGATCGACCAAGTCGATCCCCCATTTGGCGAATGGATAAGGGCTGCAAAGTGTGATCAACTCTGTAGGAGGAGCATGAGGGATGTTGGCAAAACGTTGACACTTATCACATTTGAGCACGAAATCAGTCTCATCTTGATTGAGAGTTGGCCAGAAATAACCAGTATGGAGTATTTTGTAGGCCAGAGACTTATCGCCCGAATGATTACCACAAATTTCCTCATAGATTTCCCGCATTTCATAAGTTGCTTGAGCCGAATTGAGGCATCGCAGGTATGGGCGTGAAAAATCACGTTTGTACAAGACGCCACTGACCAGGATGTAATTGGACGACCGGGCCCTGACTTTGGCGGCCTCCTATTGGTCATCTGGGAGTTCTCCCATTGTCAAAAATAGGAAGATGTCGGACGCCCAAGGGATAGGTTCGTTTTGGAGGAACTGCATTTCTTGTAGGTCGGGTGAGATGGCCGGGTGGGCTAGGTATTCGAGGCGGACACCGTGGCTGAGGTCGGACTGGTCTGCAGAGGCCAACTGAGCCATCTCGTCTGCCTTGGAGTTTTCCGCCCAAGGTATGTGCTTGATGTGGAAGGTATTGAAGAGGCGAACAAAAGGGAGGGCCATATCCCTGTAAGCCCGCATTGTGTCCTCCTTGGCATCGAATTTCCCCGTAATTTGGCCGACAATGAGCTGGGAGTCGCTGAACACCCAGATGTGGCTGACTCTAATGTCCTTGGTGAGACGGAGTCCTGTTATCAATGCCTCATATTCGGCCTCATTATTACTGGCATTAAACAAGAAACGAAGAGCACATTTGAAATAGCCACCCTCAGAGGCAGTGAGAATGAGGCCAGCTCCACTACCTTCCCTGCAGGATGATCCGTCGACGTTGAGAGTCCATGAATGTGGGTCTTCTGGCTCCGTAGGGGTTGGTGGGGGTGGAGGCGCAGCGGTTGGGGTAGGATTAGTGAATTCCAGGATGAAATCCGCGACAGCCTGTCCCTTAATTGCTGTTCGAGGCCGGTAGGAGATGTCAAACTGACTGAGTTCCACTGACCACTACATGAGTCTGCCAGAAAGTTCTGGTTGTTGCATGACCTTCTTCAAGGGTTGGTCAGTGAGAACCACTATGGAATGGGCCTGGAAGTAAGGACGGAGCCGTCTGAAGGCGATGACCAAGGCCAAGGACAATTTTTCTAACAGCAGGTAATTCTGCTCTGCTCCCCTAAGAGCCCGACTGATGTAGTAAACCGGTCGTTAGACAGAGTCGTCTTCCCTGATAAGAGCTGCACTAACTGCGATGCTTGAGACAGCTAAATAGAGGAAGAGGGGCTCGCCCGTAATTGCTTGTGAAAGGAGGGGGGGATTGGCCATGAACTACTTCAACTGCTGAAAAGCCTCTTCAGATTCAGTTGTCCATTCAAAAGTTTGCCGAAGAACTTTGAAGAATGGTAGGCACTTATCTGTTGCGCGGGAAATGAAGCGGTTGAGGGCCGCAACTCGGCCAGTGAGCCTTTGAACCTCCTTAACCGTTCTAAGTGACTGCATCTCAATCAAGGCCTTGATCCTTTCAAGATTAGCTTCAATGCCCCGTTGACTGACCATAAAACCCAGAAACTTTTCAGATCCTACGCCGAAGGCGCACTTCTCTGGGTTGAGCTTCATTTGGTACTTGCGTAGGGTGGCGAAGGTCTCTCGCAAGTCGGACAGATGATTAATAAAGAGTTTGCTCTTGACTAGTATGTCGTCGACATATACTTCCATATTGTGACCTATCTGATGATAGAAAACAGCATTGACCAACCGTTGGTAGGTGGCCCCCGGCATTCTTCAGTCCGAATGGCATCACGCGATAGTGGTAAGTACCTCGGTCGGTAATGAAAGATATATGTTCCCGATCGGACGGGTGCATCAGGATTTGGTTGTATCCAGAGAAAGCATCCATGAAGCTGAGCATTTGATGACCGGCTGTGGCGTCGACCAGCAGATCTATGCGGGGAAGAGGATAGTGTCTTTGGGGCAAGCTCGGTTTAGGTCAGAGTAATCGACACAGAGTCGTCATTTGCCATTGTTCTTGCGGACTAGGACCACGTTTGACAACCATTTAGGGTAATCCACGTTTTTGATGAATTGGGCCTCAAGGAGCTTGTCAACCTCTGCGGCTATAAGTGTATTGCGCTCTGGATGAAAGATGCGCTGCTTCTGGCGGTAAGGTCGGAAATGGGGTTCGATGCTGAGGCGGTGAGTTATGAAAGAGGGGTTAATACTCGGCATGTCTGAATGGGTCCAGACAAATACATCATTGTGCTCGATCAGAAGGGCGGTAAGGTCGGCCTTAGCTTGGGGGGATAGTTGGCTGCCGATCTTGGCAGTTTTCATTGGGTTGGTGGGATCGATGGGAACCTCAACGAGCTCCTCAACTGGTTCTCCTCTAACCAGCTCGTCCTCCTCTCGGACGTCAAGTCCTTTAATGATCATGGCCTCCTTCAGCTTGACTTCCTTGAGTGAGGCGACATAACATTCCCTAGCTACGGTCTGCTCTCCCCTTACTGTCCCGACGCCCAGGTCGGTAGGGAACTTTATGGCGAGGTGGTAGGTTGAAGTGATAGCGTGGAGAGCGTTGAGGGCGGTGTGACCAAGGATGATGTTATAGTGTAACGCCCTCAAAATAATACATAAAACCCATCACTTTAAACATGCATTGATGTAAGAGAAACCAACCATTTCTATTCATCAAAGTAATTCTTACACTGTATTACATGTTAACAACAAAAGCAAATGC